AAAAAAAACGGACGAAGAGACAAACTGGCAGCAGCGGGAGCGCGCCAGCAGCAGCAGCAGCAGCAGCAGCAGCAGCAGACTGCATGTCCATCAGCGCAAATAGGCCTGACAAACCCACACAGACAGCAGCAGCAAAGTCTGCATAAACACCTGGAAATGCCTTTGCAGGCTTTAAGCCAAAGGTGCTCATTTGCTTCAGCAGCAGCAGCAGCAGCAGCAGCAGCGAAGCAGCAGCAGCAAAGCAGCAGCAGCAAACTCACGTGACAGATGAGCAATCTTGTGCATGCGCGTGTCGCCGCAGATGAACTGAAAACACCCAAGATAAGAGTTTCAATAAATAAATAAAATAAAATAAAATAAAAGAATAAAAAAAAAGAATAAAATAAAATAAATAAAGAATAAAAGTGCGAATATGAAGCAGCAAAAGTGAAAGATGAGCAGCAACAGAGACCAGCAGTCCCCACAGACACAAAAAGGCCTCCCCAGCAGCAAAGCATCAGCAACAGCAGCAAAGCATCAGCAGCAGCAGCAGCAGCAGCGAAGCAGCAGCAGCAGCAGCACCAGCGAAGCAGCAGGAGCAGCAGCAGCAGCGAAGCAGCAGGAGCAGCAGCAGCAGGTTACGTGGGGCGCGGCTTCGGCAATGAGTGCAGCAGCAGCTGCTGCGTCGAGGGAAAAAGAGACAGCAGCAAAAAAGGACAAAAAAGAAGCAGCTGAATCATTGTCCCTAAGCAGCAGCAATAGCAAAACAGCAAAACCCCAGAGTCTACTGATTAGGGTTTAGGGTTTAGGGTCTGACGGCCTGAAGAGGAGTTTGTCCACGAAAGTGTGGGGCCCAGAGTCTCCTGATTAGGGTTTAGGGTTTAGGGTTTAGGGTCTGACGGCCTGGAGAGGAGTTTGTCCACGAAAGTGTGGGGCCCCAGAGAAGAGTCTTTTTGGTTTTTAAAGTTTTGAATTTCTTCTAAAGTTATTTCGGCACTTCCTTTGCTCGCTGCTGTCCTGAAAACAAAATAAATAAATAAGTAAATAAATAAATAAATACTGAATAATAAATAAATAAATGAATAAATCATAAACAAAAAATTAATAATAATAATAACAATAATAAATAATAAATAAAGCCAGACATAAATAATAATAATAATAAATAGTAATAATAATAATAATAATAATAATAGTAGTAATAATAATAATAATAAGAGTGATAATAATAATAAATACATAAATAAATAAATGAATAAAAAATAAATAATAATAATAATAATAAATAGATAAACAAATAAGTAAACAACTAACTTAAAAATTAATGAATGAGTGGAAAGAAAAAATAAAAAAGGAACAAATAGTAAAAATAGGTAAATAAACAAATAAATAAATAAATAAATAAATAAATAAAGAATAAATGAATAAATAGATAAATCAATAAATAAATAAATAATAAATGAATAAATAGATAAATAATAGGCAAATAATAAATAAATAAATAATAAAATGATACGAATGAAATAATAAACAAAATGATTTAAATGGATTTTGTGTTTTAAATGAAATCAATAAATTGCAGAATCTGCGAAGTTGAAAAAAAGAAAAAAGTAAAAATCAAAAAATGAAAATTAAAAAAAATTAAAAGAAATTCAGAAAGAAGAATAAAAAATTAAAAGGAAATAAAAGAAATTAAAAGAAATTAAAAACGAATTATAAAAGAATTAAAAGAAATAAAAGAGATAAAGAAATAAAAGAAATAAAAGAAATAAAATAAAGAAATGAAAGAATTAAAAAGAAATAAAAGGATTAAAGGAATCAAAAAGAAGAAAAAAGAAATAAAGGAAAAACAAAAAAGGCAAAAATAGTGAAGAAAGACAAAAGAAGGTAGAAAAGAAAAATGAGAAATAAAAATAAAAACGAAATAAAATAAAAATAAAAAAAAATGAAAATAAAAATAAAAAATCTAAAAGAGACAAAAGGGGAATAACAGAAAAGGAAAAGAAAAAACAGAAACGAAAAAACATGACCAGCAGCAACAGCAGCACAGCAGCAGCAACAACAGCAGCGCAGCAGCAGCAGCAATAGTAGCAATAAGAGCAGCGCAGCAGCAGCAATAGCAGCAATAACAGCAGGAGCACAACAGCAGGAGCACAACAGCAGCAGCACAACAGCAGCAGCAGCACAGCAGCAGCAGCAATAGCAGCAATAACAGCAGCAGCACAGCCGCAGCAGCAATAGCAGCAATAACAGCAGCAGCAGCAATAGCAGCAATAACAGCAGCAGCACAGCAGCAGCAGCAGCAGCGCAGCAGGACCTGGCGAGGAGCTGGAGTGTATGTACAGCAGCGCGGAAGTCGCCGTTGGCCGTCTCCAGCAGCAGCTCGGGAGCAGCAGCAGCAATTTGGAGTTTTTCTTTTTTTGCAATTTCTTTAATTCTTTGAATTCCCCGAAAAAAAGAAGGGTTTAAAACCACCACCAAACAAAAGGGCCTCAAAACCCTCAAACCCCCGCTGAACACGTCCCTGCACGTCAGGATTATTGGCCTGCGCGCAAACCCTAAACCCTAAACCCTAAACCCTAAACCCTAAACCCTAAACCCTAAATCCTAAACCCTGGAGTCGGAGCTCTGCGCGTTGAGGCCTGCAGCTGGGTGGCAGGGTGTAGAAGCCGCTCCATTTGCATGTTTTGGCCAACACCCACAAACCCTAAACCCTAAACCCTAAACCCTAAACCACAAACCCTAAATCCTAAACCACAAACCCTGCAGCTAGGCACCCGGCTGTACAAGTCTCTGCGTGCAGACTTAAAACCCTAAACCCTAAACCCTAGGCCCTGGTTTAAAGCCGCAGCTTTGTAGAGCGCGTAAACCCTAATTTGTTGTTTGCTGCTGCGTTTTCTGTGTCTGGGATTTTGGAGGTTTTCTTAAATGCTTTCGAATTAACTAATTACTTTTAATTTTGAAATAAAATAAAATAAAATAAATAAAATAAATAATTTAATTATTTTAAACTTTCACCTCTTCAAAACATCTCTGTTGCGCTCGTCCTTTTGCTGCAGCAGCTTCACCAGCGACTGAATCACATTCTCTCTGCTTCCTGCTGCTGCTGGTCCTGCTGCTGCTGCTGCTGCTGCTGCTGCTGCTCCCTGCTGCGCCAGCGCCTCCACATCGTCAATCAGCAGCAGCACCGGCTTCGTTTTGCTTCCGCCCCTGCCGCCGCCGCCGCTGCTGCTGCTGCTGCTGCTGCTGCTGCTGCTGGGCCGGAAGTAGCAGTCCCCGCTGCTGGCGACGCCCTTCAAAAGGGGCAGCAGCAGCGCAGCAGCTTTTGTGTCTGCGCCATTTACTTCCACAACTTCAAACCCTAAATGTGCTGCAGCAACTGCTGCTAAAGTTGTTTTCCCGCTGCCGTGGGGGCCCCCTATCAGCAGCACCTGCGCGCCCCGCAAACCCTCAGCAGCAAGCGCGCTGCAGCAGCAGCAGCAGCAGCAGGTACGGCAGCCACAGCAGCAGCAGCAGCAGCGGCAGCGGCAGCACAACACGGGCAGCTACGGCAGCTACAGATGCAGCAGCAGATGCAGCAGATGCAGCAGCAGATGCAGCAGCAGATGCAGCAGCAGCGACAGCAGCAGATGCAGCAGCAGCAGGCTGAGCAGCAGCTCCCTTTGTTTGCTTGCTGCGCTGCTTTTTTGCTGCTGTCGTTTTTGCTTTTTAAGAAATTTATTATTTTGGAATTGTTTAATTAGTTCGCCATTTGCAACTAATTAAAAAATTTAAGTTAATTAATTTGAATTAATTTAATTAGGTTAATTTAAAATAATTAAAATAATTAAATTAATTTAAATTAGAAACCAATCGCGAAAAAACCCACTTTGTGCTCCGGCCCTCCCGTGCTGCGCTGCTGCTGCTTGCCGCTGCCGCTGCCGCTGCCGCTGCTGCTGCTGCTGCTGCTGCTGCTGCTGGGTTTATTTGGGAGTTTATTTGGATTGGCAAACCCCCCAAACTTCTCCAAACGAGCTGCTTCTTTGCGCGCATTTATTTGCTGCTTCCACTGCAGCAGCCACCGGAAGACAATTCGGTTTTCTGCGTCTGGAGACAGCAGCTCCAAAGGACTGCAGCACAGCAACAGCAGCAGCAAAGCAGCAGCAAAGCAGCAGCAGCAAAGCAGCAACAGCAGCAAAGCAGCAGCAGCAGCAGCAACGCAGCAGCAGCAGCGACAGCAGCAAAGCAGCAGCAGCAGCAGCAAATACTTGAATAAGCGCCGTCAAATGACTTAGTGGATTATTTAATTGTTCAGTTAATGGCCAATTCTGGCTGCCAAATGTTTCTGCTTTTTTGCTGCTGAGCTGTCGAGACACCCCGGGGTGTACAGACAGCTCCGCTGCGAAAAGGGAATAAATTGAAAATTGAATTTAAAAAATAAATTAATTAAACTTTTAATTAATTAATTTAAAGCAATTGAGTGAAAAAGAAAAGAAATTAGCAGCAGCAGAAGTGCAAAAAGACAAGCTCACGTTTTAGCCCTGTAAAGATCCACCCACTGTTGCGTCGCGCTGCGCTGCTGCTGCTGCTGCTGCTGCTGCTGCTGCGACTGCTGCTGCTGCCTCTCTTGGTGCTGCTGCAGCAGCAGCTCCGTCTCCTGTCTCCGGGCAGCCTGTGCCTCCATGATTTCCCTAAAACCACACGAAAGCGCAGCAGCAGCAAGCCAGCAGCAGCAGCAAATCAGCAGCAGCAGCTGCTGCAGCAGCAGCTGCTGCAGCAGCAGCTGCTTCGGCTGCATAAATCAGCAAAAGCCGCTTCCGAAACCAGCTGCTGCTGCTGCTGCTGCATGATTGTAAGGGGGCGCACCTGAGCACTTCCTCCATGGGCCTTTTGCTGCTGCAGCAGTCGCTGTCTCTTGCAGCAGCAGCAGCAGCAGCAAGCTGCTGCTGCTGCTCCTCCTTAGACATGAGGTGTACGTACACCGGAGGCCCCACAGTGCCTCCGCCCACAGGGTGAGGCGGCAGCACTCGAACTGCGCCTTCGGCTACTGCAGCAGCAGCAGCAGCAGACTCCTGCTGCTGCTGCTGCTGCTGCGCTGCTGCTGCTGCCTTGGCCAGCAGCTGCGGGGCGAAGCGGCAGCGCGTACTTGAGGTGTACAGACAGCTCCGCAGGTAAGCAGCAGAAGGGCCCCCTTTGCTGTTGTGGGCAGCTTGAGGAAGAGCAGCAGCAACTTGCGCTGCTTCTTCTGCGTTTGCAAACCCCACACTGCTGCTGCTGCTGCTGCTGCTGCTGCTGCTGGGGGGCAGCAGCGAGAGGTAGGGCAGGTGCTCCAGGTCGAAGAAGAACACTGGCGGCTGCAGCGCTGCTGCTGCTGCTGCCAGCAACTTGTCTTCCTCATCATCATCCACAGCAACTGCTGCTGCTTCTGCTGCCTGCTGCTGCTGCTGCTGCTGCTGCTTCCTCCGTTTGCGAGCCGCAGCTGGAGTGAGGGGGCTGGCAGCAGCAGCAGCAGCAGCAGCAGCGTTCAGCGCGTCCGCTCTTTTCTCACTGCCTCGCTGCCTCTTGAGGGGCCCCTGGCCATCCTCATCAGCCTCCAGGGGGCCCCCCGGGGGTCCTAGAGGAGGAGCAGCTGCTGTTGCTGCTGCTGCTG